ATACATAAAAATACAAAAAACAACCGTTCATCAGTAGACTACACAAAGACAACTATAATTAATATTCTGCAATGCCTTCTTTTTTCCTTTGATTTTATCTGTAACAATTTTGTATATACATCACACCACATTTAGCCATACACTTATTGTAGAAAGCTGGACTGGCTCTAAGTTTTTGCCTTCATAAACAACCCTGAAACAAAGATTTTTGAGTATCTATAAATCTTTAATTCAAATTTCTGATAATTTCTTCCAGAGAGAATTTTAGAAGGGAAAATACAGGCAGTTTGACTTTGATTGATATACTGAGTTAAACACACTTAACTTCTAAAGGATTGATATAAATTGCATAGCTATATTCCAAAAGGGGCACCAACTTACACTAACACAAGTGTGAATACCCATTTCACCAAAACCTTGCCATTACCATTCTCTAAAAGTATTTGCTAATATAGTAAAAAATGGCAGCTCATGGTTGTCCTAATTTAATTTACACTTCTTAAATATACTATGATGAAATATCTGTAATGTTTATTAGATATTTCTATTCTATATTTGTCTATAAATGCATTTTCCTGGAGTATTAGTGTTTTCATAAATGCTTCATACATCTTGTGACAAATGAACGCTTAACCTATAAAAGGACTATACAATGGCTTCTGAGTGACTCAAAGTGCAATTTTTGTTATCATCCACCATTTATCTGACATTTCTGACACGTTTAAGAAAACTAAATTAATAAATATTTGCTATCTAGCTTAACTCAGTAATTCTTTTTTTTTTTTTAACTTAGTAATTCTGTAAAGAGATCAAAGAGTTCTGTATCTTGATCCAATCTGAAAATTGTTGCTTTTGGATAAAGATACTAAACTGCAACAACTTTCATGTTGTATTGCTCATACTTCTTTCATGGAATTACAATGTAAAATAGGATCTTACAAGAACATTGTCTACAAATAAGTATTTCAGTTGCCAAGATTAAAAGGAAAAGCCATTGGCTCTGCAAAATGCACAAGCACTTAGTAGCAACAAAGATCTAAAATGAAGTTCCTTGTTTTACCTGTCATGCAAAATCTATTTTAGTCACTGACCATCTTACAACATCTGTGAAAAACTACTGGTTATCACAAGTACTTTTGAGAATAATTGTGTAGACCAGGGGTCAGCAAGTTATAGCCAAATCCAGCCACCCCTCTTTTTATAAGTGAAGTTTTATTAAAATACATTCATTAGTCATGTTCGTTTGCTTACATATTATCTAATGGCTGCTTTCACAGCAAGAGAGTGAAGTTCAACAGTTAGTCTGCAAAATCCAAACATCTACTACCTGGCTCTTTACAATTTAGACAGCTAAAGCATCTGAGTAAGTAACTTTACATGTAGTAAACGTATCAGTATAGATATCCAGAACCTAACCCATGGAGCTCATATAGCAAAAAGACTTGCAAGTAAGTTACAACACAAGGTATAAAAAGCTAAGTGCTAAGAAAAGAACAGCGACCAAAAAAGGATGAGACTGCTTCCCCTGAGGGAAATGAAGAAAGCAGCTTTTGCAACGAGTTTTGAAGGATGGCTATAATTTGGACACGCAGAATGAGGAGACTTCAAGTGTCAAGAAAAGCAGAGGTGCAAAAAAACTCAAACGCATACATACACAGAGGAGCACAGTTAGAAAAAATGTTAATAAGCATTTGGAAGCCAGAGCACAGTGAAGGCTTTCAATGTCAGGCTTTCAATAGCAGTTTAGATTTATTTTATTTATTTATTTTATTTTATTTTATTTATTTTTTTAGCAGTTTAGATTTTAAATACGATTAGGTTCAAAAGCAAGAGAGTTACAAGTGAATAGAACTTTAAAAAGATCAATCTGTAAACAGTATTTCAAATTAATTTAAGGAGACAGATGATAAAGAAATTAGTTACAAAGCTATTAAAATCTAAGTAATGAAGGTGGTGGCAATGGGACTGGAAGAGGATACACTGGAATAAACACATTACTATCATAGCAAAACCTTTCTAACACATAATCAGACAGTAGCATTTGGATACAATATAAACTTCTTACTCATATAGGGTAAAAACTCCCATCTTCCCTACCTTTGAACAAAAACAATGACTTCTAATTAGTTTCGATAATTTTTAAAAGACGAATCATTTAAATAGTACTTTCCTACTTTTAAAACTTACTCTGGATTTATAAGTATATATTAAAATTGAATTCATTTACTAGGGCCCCATCTGCTGGACCACTGGAAACAAAGTGTGATCTTAAATTTGGGCTCTTAAATGCTTCTTAATTGCTGCAAGCACCAATGCATTTGCTTTGTAGCAGCTCCTTTCCAGGTATATCAAATGCCCTCTTTAGGAAAGAACCATAAAATATCTTTCTCCACATTTTCCCCAAGGCACCAATAATTTCATTGCTGCCTAAATTGTTGATTTTTAAATAAGAGATTTGTATTCAAACCACACAACTATTTAAATATACTTAAGAAATTTACTTCTCAGTATAAGAATAAGCTGGAATTCATCAGACTGATCTCATTATTGGTAAGTTGTTACACTAAAAAAGTTTTATATTCTGTTCATTAAGAACTAAGCTACAACTTTCTTGTCAGTTGGCTTCTGGCTGAGCTCTACCAAAGGAAAACAAAGATGATCTACTGGAAAGATCAAAAACAAAGTATTCCTCTCTGCGCTTTTCTCTACTCGACAGAATTTCCCCAGTGGCTTCAGCTTCTTCTGTAAGAATCTAGTTCCCAGGTCACCCTAGCTCTTGGCCTCCAAGACCTATATCTTACCTGTATCCCTCCATTTATCACTACTTGCTCTTACTACTGCTAATCCCTGGGTTGCCTCACCATCCTCTTTTTGACTACTTATGTAACTAATTCTCTGCTAATTAATTTTTTTTAAGTCCACTTTATTATTTTTTTTTAAATTTTTATTTATTTATGATAGTCACACAGAGAGAGAGAGAGAGGCAGAGACATAGGCAGAGGGAGAAGCAGGCTCCATGCACCGGGAGCCCGACGTGGGATTCGATCCGAGGCCAAAGGCAGGCGCCAAACCGCTGGGCCAAAGGCAGGCGCCAAACCGCTGCGCCACCCAGGGATCCCCTCTGCTAATTAATTAAACTAATTAACTTTAATTAACTAATTAAAGTCCCTCTATGTAAAAGAAGGGGAGAGGAAAAGAGGGAGGGGGAGACAGAAAGAAGAAAGAGCAAAATGGACTAGCCCAGCTTTTCTGGCTCTAGTGTATCCACTGTCCAGCCTCATTTCACAATGGAAAAGAAAGAACAATAACATGTGTAAACTTTAAATCACTTGTGTACATCCATCCTTCTCAGATTTTTGCTTTGTGTTACATGGTATGCCAGGATGTGAAACTACAGAATAAGCATGTCCATGGTAGGTTTTATATATATATATATATATATTTGTATATTAGAACAAACGACAGAAGTGTTGTCATTTCAATGGAGAATAGTCTTCAACAAACGACAATGGGACAACTGGATATCTATATGCAAATAATAAAGACCCCTATTTCATACAGTATACAAAAATTAACTCAAAATTGGATCACAGACCTAAATTTAAGTAGTAAAACTACAACCCAGGTATAAATCTTTGTGCCACTGGATTAAGGAGTGGTTTCTTAGGTACGCCACCAAAGCAGTAGAAACCTAAGGAAAAAAATAAATTGGACTTTCTCAAAGTTGAACTTTCGTGCTTTAAAGGATACTACCAAGAAAGTGAAAAGATAACCCACAGAATGGGAGAAAATATTTACAAATTATATCTAATAAGGGACTAGTATCTAGAGTATATAAAGATGGGGCGCCTGGGTGGCTCAGTCAGTTAAGTGTCTGATCCCAGGTCATGGTATGGAGCCCCATATCAGGCTCATCAGGTCATGATCCCAGAGTCCTGGGATGGAGCCCCATATCAGGCTCCCTGCTCCGTGGGAAGTCTGCTTCTCCTTCTCCCTCTGCCTGCTGTTCCCCCTTTTTGTTCTCTCTCCCTCTCTCTCTGTCATATAAATAAAATCTTAAAAAAAAAAAAAAAAGAATATATAAAGAAATTTTACAACTCTTAAAAGGACAAATAATCCAATTTTAAAATAGGCAAATGATACCAAAAGACATTTCTCCATAGATGCTATCTAAATGGCCAATATCACTGGCCATCAGGGAAATGCAAATAAAAATCATAATGTGATAGTTGTCTGGGCAGAATGTAGGGAAGTAGACTGTATCTAGAACCAATTTCTTCAACAGAAGGAAAGCAAAAAGGAGTATGTTCAAGTATACTGAACATTATAAAATGCAATATGTTCAAGTATATACCTATTGCATCATAACATATGTAAAACCTGAAAGAAAAGCTACCTGTCTGCCAGAACAAAGGAAGTACGAGATTAACTGATGCAAAAAGTCTTAGAAATACAGAAAACGACTTAAGTATTAGACAAGGATAGATACATTTGGGGTTGTTTCTGCTATAAGCTGTGGATTTCACAGGAAAACATTGTTTTGGCTGCTAAAACAAAAAATATTCACATTAGATGTTATTGTAGTAGTATCAACAGCTCATTTTCAGGGATCTGTATATTAACAATTTTGTCACATCAGTATTAGCTGTCTCAAACAACTCTGTATAACTGCTTAGAAATAACTGAAATTCACAACTTAAAAAAACACTTAGATCATCCATGTATCACTTGTGAAGAAAAAAAATCAGTGAGAAGTCTTTCTTTAAATATTCCTTTTGATAATGCTGTAAATATAATTATCACATACTATACATTACACAAACTTATATATAATATATACTTATATATAATATTTAGAGTGTATATATTATATATACATTATATGTTACATAATACGCCGGATACACTGCGATGACAAGGCACGCAAAGATATCAAATTTGCAAGTTCTATTAAAAATATTATTTCCAACAATGCAACGGAAAAACATAGGTTCCCTTACCTCATCATCATCATCATCAGAATCATTTCCAAACACTGATGGTTTTTGCAAAACAGGGTGCAACTGCTGTGCTTTCTTTGGCAAAATAAGCCCATACCTGCATTTTTTTTTTGAAATAGAAATTACACCATTATATTTAAATGTTAAAAAATAATACATCCACTACCTCTTCCAGATGAAGCTAACACGCCAAAACATATCATATAGGTCATGAACATGTAACAGTTTCTGCTTTTTAGTGATCTCAAAATTCTAATGTGCGTTAAGATTTTATAACTATTACTTTTAAGTAACTATTTGCAGACAAGAGCCAAATTCAAATACCATTTTAATCAAAGAAAAGAAGTAATTAAAGAATGTTTTAGATAATGAAATAATAGTATTGTTTTAGAAAGAACATGTTAGCGGAAAGCTGTTAATGCCCACTAACTGAGAAACCCCTGTAGACACGGGGCAAATGCCCACTACACTCTACTGAGTTCATTTGCTGTCTTGGATCATCTCAGAGAACCGTCTGATCCAACTCATTTAGTCTCTCACGTTTTTGGCCTTTAAAATGCCGAGATCACGGGAAGTAAGGATTATACATCAAAGGTAAAACTTCCAAGAACACGTAATGTTTGTCTCTCTTGCGGTAATGTATACCCCAGTTCCCTATATGCCTACCCTTTTCTGTGGTTTCTCAGCACAACATTCCTAAAACAAGAAGGGAGGGCGGGAATCAGGACTTGAGCAGCCAAGGAGAATAAGGCCGTCTAAGGAAGCCAGGAATTGTCTCTTCTCATTGCCCATGAAAGCATCCAACCGGGGAGAAACTCAAGCGCGGGGTAGGAAGCAAGACTGAGGGGCCTCAGACCGAGCTTTTGGAAAATAGAAAAGTCTCGCTCTCTGCCCCTCAGCCTAACTTCCTTTATTTCCTCACAAGTTTCTCCCTCAAACTTCGGGCTTCCATCCTGGAAAATGTGGGGGGGGGAGGGGAATGTGTTCCTCAGGATTTCTCGCTTTTCCCCGTCTCTATCCCTGACGACACAAGCCCCTTCATTTCCAGCGCACTTTTACTCCTCGGCCAAAGACAAAGTCGCCGTCATTTTCCGTTCCCAGCCTGACCCTAACTCCCGGATCACTCACTGCCTGCCCGGAATCGCCATCTTGCTCCCGTCTCCGCTGAACGTGGCCGACGCCGACGTGACGCTGACGCAGACGCCGACGTCGTCCCGTAAACTCTCGCGCGGATTTGGGAGGTGCGGACCGCTTGTGGCTGCTGAGTCCTTTTGAGTTGCAAGCGCCTTGTGGGGAGCCGACTCCTACGGCCTTCGGCTTTGTTTGTAAACCCACTGGCTGTCTCGAATTTAATGGGAGGAAAGGAATGACAAAATTCTAAGCCAGTAGTTCCCAAAGTGTGGAGCATCATCCGGGAATTCGTTAAATGCGAATTCCCTGCCCTTTCCCAGAACTCCTGTCTCTGAAACTCCGGGATGGGACCCAGCAATCTGAATTTTAGCGAACCCTCCAGGTAACTCTGATAACCACTCAAATTTGAAAAACACTGCCCTAAGGCTATCGATATTTGTGTCCCCCCCCACCCCCCTCCCCCGCGCGGAGGTAATCTGTGTGAGTATACCTGGCTCCGGTAACTCGGCAGAAGATGAAAATCTCTATACGTTAATACAGGACCTGTGCTCACGGGACAAAGGGATGAATAACATCGTGTCAATACTGGGTATAAAAGTCAAAATCATATATATGTATATTTTTAAATCTAGTCACATTCCGTCTGTTCATTCACTAGCAGTTGGCCCATTCCAAGCTGGTCTTAGGGCAACCAAAGATACCTTTTCAATTAACAGAAGGATGTTAAAATACTCGACTATAATTGTGGATCTATTTCTCCTTTTAATTCTGTCAGTTTTGTTTCTTGTATTTTGCAGTTCTGTTATTAGGTATATAAACACTTAGGATTGTTAGGTCCTCTTGCATTGATCTCTGTGCCATTGAGAAATTACCCTCTTTTAATGTACTGTACGTGATATTAATATAGCCAGCTTTGTTAGCATAGTATATCTTTTCCCACCCTTTTAACCTATTTTAATCTATTTGTGTCTTTATAGTCAAAGTGGGTCACATATTGATAGTATTATATATTTGGGTCTTGCTTTTTTTTTGTCTAATATGACAATTTATTTTACTATGGTATTTAGAAACCCCCTATTAAAGTGATTATGAGTATAGAAACCCCCTATTAAAGTGATTATGAGTATGGTTGCAGTTTTTCTGTTTTCCAATCTGTTCTTTGTTCTCTAACCCTCCCTGCTCTTTTTTTTTTTTTTTTTGCCCTCTTTTGGATTGATCAAGAAATTTTTACGATTCACCTTAAGATTTTTATGATGCAACGTCTTTGTTGGCTTATTAGCCATACTTGTTTTTTTTAAGGTGTTACTTTAGGTTTCTCATATACATCTTTAATTTATCTCAGTCTGTCTTCAAGTAAGAATATACTTCTCTATGTATAAGTTAAAAACCTTACAAAAATGTACTTCCATTTTCTCTTAGACTTTGTACTGTTTTCACACATTTTACTTCTATGTTATAAACACATAATTATTTTTGCTTTAAGCAATTATCTTCCAAAAACATTTTTTAAATAAAAATATTATGTTTGCTCACATATTTACCATTTCTGTGTAGATCAGATTTATATCTAGTACAGCCATTTTTTTTTAGGTCGGGGATGGCCAAGTGGGGGAAATGAAAGAATTTTAAGTAGGCTCCACACCCAACATAGCGAAGCCCAATGTGGGCTCGATAATCACTACCCTGAGATCGTGACCTGAGCCAAAATAAAGTGTCAGTCACTTAACCAACTGAGCCGCCCAGGCACCCCCAATTCACAAATTTAAGGTGTATAATTCAGTGATTTTTAATATATATTCAGAGAGCTGTGCTACCATCACCACAATCAACTTTAGAGTACTTTTAATGCCCAAGAAAGAAAGCATATATCCATTAGTCAATTATTTTATCCCAGACCCTTTGATCCTAGGTAACCAGTAATCTACTCTTGTCTCTTTGGACCTGCAGTTCTATCAGTTTTAGCTCCACGTATTTTGAAACTCTGGTATTAGATGTATAAATATTTAAGATTGCTGTGATTTCTTAATTGACCTACTTTTCATTATGAAATGACCTTTATCATGGTAATACTCTTTGCTCTGAAATCTACTTTGTGTGTTATTATTATGGTCACTCCAGCCACTCTTTTGACATTAATTCCAGGGAAAGTGAAAAAATGTTTACAAAAGGAAAATTATAATTTACCTCATGGCTAAGCCCTTAAATAGCATACATAATCACAATGCTAATGCTAAATTAAATATCAGTCTATTCTAACTTAAATTACATTGTAATATATTTGAAAGAATGGAGGAATAGGAAATGTTTCGTGTTTGTGTGTGTCAACACACATATGGGCAAGAAGCTAAATCCTTGTAATACATACTGGGAGGCTAATAAATATTGTTTAAATCGGGGGAAAAAATGTAGCCACACAGCATGTTCATTCACACTGTGGAGGTACATATCAAAATGAAAGCCAAGATAGGGGTTGGGAAACTTCTGTGCCAAGGGTCAGATAATATATAGGTTTTGTGGGCTTAGGGTCTTAGTAGCTTGGCAGCTACTGAACTGTGCCCTTCTAGTGTGAAAGCAGTCATAAATGCCCACTTCAGCAGCACATATACTAAAATTGGAAAGCAGTCATAAACATTATGGGCATGACTTTACTTTCTTCTTTCCTTCCTTTCTTCTTTCTTTTTCCTTTCTTCCTTTTTAAGTAAACCCTATGTCACATGTGGGGCTCAAACTTATGACCCTGAGATTAAGTGTCACTTGTTCCACTGAGTCAGCCAAGCACCCCTGGGCATGGCTTTTTTTAAATAAAACTATATTATAATAGGCACCTGTCTAGATTTAGTCCTTGGGCTGTTTATTTATGCCTGAGCTAAAGGAATTGAAAGTAGTTGACTCAGAAGTAAGAAAAATAGGGGGGAAGAGAGACTGAGAAATGATCTGGTCTTAAAAGACCTTGTATAACAGGATGACTCTTTAAACTATGAGTATATGTTATTTTGCTTAAAATAAAAAGAATCAATAAAAGGTAAAAATAAAGCTCTCTGCCAAGACTGCTTCTTGCTTGAAGAGACTGAATAGGGAATTAGTTATACAAAATTACCCAGCTCAATATCCTATATATAAAGTGAGCTTTTGAATTGGTGTATTGGATCCTGTATTCTCCCATTACCTTTGGGATGTTGTAGTGAAGCAGTTGTATGATTTTCCCAGAGGTAGAAGGGTTTCAGAGAGTTCAGGTTCTTCCGTCACTTGGCAGAGTTTGCAGAAATGGTGGTTCCTGATCAGTGAATCAGAAACACAGAGAAACCTCCTAACATTTTGAACCCAAGTTTAGGAACTTTCATTGAAGATGCAGGAAGAAAAGAAGCAGAGTAAGCCAATAAAAGATGGTATCATCACTACCATACTCCTGTCTGTTACACAAGAGATAATTCTTAGACTTTTAGAAATAAGACCTCAAGAACAGAACAGTTGACTTAGAATTGGTTCCAAGGCAACTATAGGGTCCTCAGCACCCAAACTAATGGATCTTCCATTTAGTCATTTGACATTAACATTACTGATGTTATTTCCTTACTCTTTAAGTCTCTGGTGTTTTTTGTACCCTTTGCCTTTTTGTGCATTCTTATCCCTACCCATTCTCTAAACTTTTTCTCTACCAACAGTTTCTGCTAACTTGTACTACCTGAAAGTCAGTATGTTTTAATTTGTTTAAGGCCTGGCATGAAACTTTTGGCCTCTCAAAACACTTAACTATCCTTCTAGACACTGCTCCTATTGCTATTTCCCAGTTTGGTTTATCCATGGCTTGGTTACTTTCTATATTAGTCCATTTCACAAATTGGTCTCCCTTTGGCAAAAAGCTATGGCTGGAGAGTTAGGGTTATATAGAACAAAATATGGCCACAGAGGTGCCTTCTGGTTGTGGCTTGTGGGCAGGACAGTCTAAGCCCAGGCAGCAGATTGAGGAGAGGTAAAATAGAATTAATGACTAGGAAGTGGAACACCCTCTGAGTATAATTACCATGCCTAATGACAAAGAAATAGGCAATATTTAATTAATTGATATTATCTATTGAGGGAGGCCTTTATAATAAAATCATATAAGGGAGAGTAAGAACACAGAGTTAATGATGTAGGGTGGGATTAGGTGAGAGTGGCATTACATAAACCTCCCATGAGAAGAATGAAAATTCCCAAAATTACTGGCAAAAAGATATGAGTCAGTGGATTGGGGATGTCTATGGAATGTAAGAGTAGCTGGTAGCTTAATCATATTAAGAAGGAATGGGAAATCAGTCACAAGAAACCACATAATATGTGATTCCATTTATATAAAATATCTAGAGTAGGCAAATCCATACAGGAAGGAAAATGAATAACTGCCTAGGGCTTGGGTGGGGGAAAATGGAGAATGACTACTAATAGGCATGAGGTTTCTTATGGGGGTAATGAAAATGTTCTAAAATTGATTGTTGTGGGATCCCTGGGTGGCGCAGCGGTTTGGCGCCTGCCTTTGGCCCAGGGCGTGATCCTGGAGACCCGGGATCGAATCCCAACGTCGGGCTCGCGGTGCATGGAGCCTGCTTCTCCCTCTGCCTGTGTCTCTGCCTCTCTCTCTCTCTCTCTCTCTCTCTCTATCATAAATAAATAAAAAATTTTTTTTAAAAAAAGGACCAAATCTTTAAAAAAAAAATTTTGTTGTAATGGTTGCAAATTCTGTAAATATACTAAAAACCATTACATTGTACATGTTAAGTGGGTGTATTATATTCTATATAAGTTATATTTCAATAAAGCTGTTAAAAGAACCAACAGGAACTTATGAAGATTCCAGTATTATTGTCTTGAAAACTTGTTCCTAGACCATGGAAAGCCATAATTAAAAAGGAAAATGTTCCGAGCAGACACTCTCTCTCTCTGCTGTCCTGGCCACTGAGGCTCCTTTTGCAGTTTAATAAACTTCTATCTCCTTTCTTCTGCCTTAGGTGAGTTCTTTCACTGCCTGCACCACCGGCCTCCACCCAATCTGAATGTCCCACATTTTGTGGCCCATATGGAG